GGTTCTATAAGAATTTGTGGAGATTATAAAACTACACTGAATAAGCAAATAGAGCTAAATAGGTACCCTATACCTAACATTGAGGAAATTTCTTTGAATTTGGCAGGAGGAGACAAATTCACTGAATTAGACTTTAGTCATGCTTACACTCAACTAGAACTGCATCCAGATTCAAAAGTCTATACGACAATAAATACACATAAAGGTCTCTACCAATATGAAAGACTATGTTTTGGCATATCATCCAGCCCTGGAATTTTCCAAGCTGTCATGGACAGTATTTTTAAGGACATTCCAAATGTTTGTGTGTACTTTGACAATGTGTACATAACTGGTAAGAATGACACTGAACATCTTAAAACACTTGATAAAGTCTTGAAAATTGTTGGTGAAAAAGGTTTAAAGATAAACAAAGATAAATGTCAATTCATGTTGACAGAAATTAGTTTTCTTGGTTATATATTGAGCAAGCAAGGTATCAGACCTCAACCTGAGAAAACAAAAGCCATTAAAGAAGCACCCAAACCTGAAAATACCCAACAACTAAGAGCTTTTTTGGGCTTGATAAATTACTATGCAAAGTTCATAGGAAATCTGTCTGGTAAACTATCACCACTGTACAAGCTGCTACAGAAAAATGCAACTTGGCACTGGGGTAAACAACAAGAAGCTGCTTTTAATACAGCAAAAGAGGCTTTGTCTGCTGACACCTTACTAACTCACTATGACCCAGGGAAAAGACTTATATTAACATGTGATGCTTCACCAGATGGTGTAGGAGCAGTCTTGTCCCACATGGATGAGAAGGGTGACAGACCCATTGCTTTTGCCAGTAGATCTTTGAACCAGGCTGAGAAAAATTATTCTCAGTTAGATAGGGAAGGCTTAGGCATCATTTTTGGTGTTAAGAAATTTCATAAGTTTCTGTTTGGTAGGAAGTTCACCATCTTTACAGATCATAAACCATTGCTAGGTTTATTTGGAGAAAACAAAACCCTACCTGAGCATGCCTCACCAAGAATTCAAAGATGGGCTATCACACTAACTGCATACAATTATGAATTGAAATACAAACCTGGATCTGAGAATAGTGCAGATAGTCTGAGTAGATTACCTTTAAAAAACCAGAGCCTGAGCTATGTACCAGATGTATTTGTTCTCTTCACTATCATGGATAACTCCAATATAAATGTGAATGATATTAAAGGAGAAACACAAAAAGATGAGTGCTTAATAAAAGTATATGAGCACTGTATGAATGGTTGGCCTGAAGAGTCTGTGAATGATGACTTAAGGCCATATTAAATAAGAAATAAAAACCTTTGTGAAGATAATATAAAAGATGGAGAAGATGCAGTCCATTATCAGTCAGAGTTGCCTAAACAAAGTATTTGTAACTTAATAAATGATTATGGTGATATGGCAATTTCAAATGCTTTTAAAGAGAATACATTAGTAAGAAGGAATGTGATCATCAAACAACTTTGCTAACATCATTGGCACTTACAGAAAATAAAAGGGTAACATCAAAAGAAAAAAAAGATTTTTGCCATTTAATACACCCACTTCAAATACTGGATCACAGTTGCAAAGTGATATTGTCCAGGATATTACTTTAAACAGTATTTTTGGTTACCAGGAAAGCACTATCAGATTACCTGAGAAAATTGATCAATCAAAGAAATCTATGTCAGTCAAGGATCTGAATAACAGCATAATACTTTCAGATGCCAATTCAAAAATAGTTCCATTAGATCATGACAAACATTCATTGAAAGAGAATTTGGTGTTAATGAGAATGTGTATCTAAGAAACTATGGGAGAAGGGAAAAATGGATACCAGGTCAAATTGTTCAATGTACAGGACCTGTGCCTTATAAAGTTAAAAATAACTTGTGCAGATAATAAGTGTGAATCTGTCAATCCCACCAAGTCTGATCAGTTGACACCAACTCAGTTTGTTCCACAACCAAGTTCTGTTGATATGAGTGAACCAAGTTGTCTGGAGTCAGAAAATGTAAATTCTGGAGTTAATGATTTAAATCCTAGACCTCCTGAGATAGAGAATCCAGATGGTCAGAATCTTGAGTCACCAAATCAGAAGCCACTGAGAAGGTCAAGCAGGACAATCAAAGTCCCAAATAAGTTAGACCTATGATTCTAAAGGTCAAAAGGACTTTGACATTATTGTTTTGTATTTTGATTATGTTGTGGCATATTGTGCATTGTTTGTAAGGATGTAATCTACCATAATGTTCATGTTACAATATAATTGGTGATTTTAGGATACTATCAATTGTTCTATTGAGAGATGTGTTATTGTGTTCTAAGGGTAAAGGGATGTAATAGATTGAGTTAATTGTGAGGTCAAGGGAACTCACTCTCTGTATTAGTATTATATTTATATTGTTATCTTGAGTGATGTCCCTTACATGTTGTTATCTATAAATAGTTCTCTCTCGCCACTTCCTCTCTCTCTTTGCATGATGGCGTCAGTACATAATAAAGACTGTTAACAACCAACGCGGCTTCTCGTCAGTCATTACAATCTACCTCATGCATCATTCTTATATCCTCTCACATCTTGTGGTTATACTATGCTTCTATTCGTAGGCTTACATATTTTTAGAATTTTTAAAATTGAAGTGTATATTTTAGAATTTTCAAGAGAAGTTTGTTTAATTTTATATATTATCATTATTATTACAAATTATTTCGAGCACTGCATGGTAGAATCGCTTTTGTGAAGAAATATCAAGTATGGGTTTTTGCACTTGAAACCTGTTTTGAGTTGTTTTTTTCTTAGTGCTAATGGTGTTAATATTTTATTTCTTTATTGCATTATATCTTAATTAAGTTTATTGTTAAGGGTTGGGCTAAGGGTTAATTGCTAGGGTAAAATGTAAGGGCTAGAAACAGTCTAAGAAAATAATTTTTTTTTTCAATACAAATATTAAGAATTTTAGCTGAATTAATATAAATAAGTATATTTTGACATATAAAATGTGTCATTGTTTTTCATCTGCCAATTAAGTCTTATGTTTAAAGAAATATGCAATATCTTCTCTCATTCTTTCATAGAAATAAACACAGTTCTTATTTCCTGTCAACCAAGTGACAATATATATAACCTTGACTGGATGTGATAGGATCTAAGCTTATTTGGTAATTCCTCAATCGTTAGCCAAAATAAGCAGTACTGGATTACAAATTTGTGTTTTTCAAGAATATTCAAAGAATATTAATATGCAGCCCTAATCTAATAATAGCCTTGTCATTACTGGCAATCTATTTTTAGATCCCATAAGACTGAGTGAAAAGATTAACAGACCTTCTGTCATTAATTTTGCCTTTTTACAAGCTTTTATTTAACTCACTTCCTCTGTCGTCAGTCCAGACGGAAACGCATGAGTGAAAATTCGGACAGTTCTACTTGACCGACACGATTCACAGTTGGCACGTGGGTCAAGACATGAAGACAATGCAATCTGAAACTAAATTTGACTTAATTGGATGCCTAATTGATTTTTTATGAATTAATTAAAATTTGGACCGAATTAGTAGGCATGTCTAGCCAACCACACCACACGCGTCATCAATAGCTGCGCCATCACGACCACGTAATGGCTGCGTTCAAAAACCATTGCGCGCCTACTGAACGTGATATTCAGTAGGCGCGCAATGGTTTTTAGTCATGTAACTCTATTGTAGATAAAACATGTAAAGTACTGAAAAAAAAATTCATAAAAAACGTTTTAATAACAAGCTTTTATGTAATGATGCACTAAAAAGTAGAAAATAAATTATAGACTACTATTTAAATAACTATAAAGAAAAGCGTGGGTGTCTTCCATAACATTAGTAAAGGTATCCAATAGATACTAAAGTGACCCACGCTTTTCTTTATAGTTATTTAAATAGTAGTCTATAATTTATTTTCTACTTTTTAGTGCATCATTACATAAAAGCTTGTTATTAAAACGTTTTTTATGAATTTTTTTACAAGCTTTTATTTAACTCACTTCCTCTGTCTGTCGTAAGTCTGTCTAGACGGAAACGCAGGAGTGAAAATTCGGACAGTTCTACTTGACCGACACGATTCACAGTTGGCACATGGGTCAAGACATGAAGACAATGCAATCTGAAACTAAATTTGACTTAATTGGATGCCTAATTGATTTTTTATGAATTAATTAAAATTTGGACCGAATTAGTAGGCATGTCTAGCCAACCACACCACACGCGTCATCAATAGCTGCGCCATCACGACCACGTAATGGCTGCGTTCAAAAACCATTGCGCGCCTACTGAACGTGATATTCAGAAGGCGCGCAATGGTTTTTAGTCATGTAACTCTATTGTAGATAAAACATGTAAAGTACTGAAAAAAAAATTCATAAAAAGCGTTTTAATAACAAGCTTTTATGTAATGATGCACTAAAAAGTAGAAAATAAATTATAGACTACTATTTAAATAACTATAAAGAAAAGCGTGGGTGTCTTCCTTAACATTAGTAAAGGTATCCAATAGATACTAAAGTGACCCACGCTTTTCTTTATAGTTATTTAAATAGTAGTCTATAATTTATTTTCTACTTTTTAGTGCATCATTACATAAAAGCTTGTTATTAAAACGTTTTTTATGAATTTTTTTTTTAATAATTATACTTTATTCTGGCTTTATAATCACCACTTTTCACTTTAACATTTATAACAATTTTTAATCTTCAGTTGATTTATCGAAAGCAGTCAAGAATGGAAGAGGGAACAGAATATTTAGCTGGAGGAGTCCACTTTCAAAACCTAAGTCCAATTTTTTTTAAAAAATTGAGTCATCCCCCTTGGCTCTTCTATTATGAATCTACCCACAGTTTTTTTTTTTTTTTTTTTTTTTTTTTTTGACAATCAAAACCTACTTAGTTCGCTAATTTCCTTAGTTAAAAATAGGCCTACGATCCACTTGCAAAACCTGCTAAGTTTCCTCAACTTTCACTTTCAATCCCTACTAAGTAACTAGCCAATGGCAGCAGTTTTTAATTGAAGGATAGAGCCAATCACAATTTAGATTGCTTATAGGCGACTTCCTTCCTTGTACATCATTCATTCTTTCAAAATGGCTGAACACGATGCGAGTTTCGTTGTAATTGGTGAAAATGCCAATAGATCCCCCATCAAAGCTTCAAACAGAAAACAGATTCAAATTCAGAGGTAAGCCATCTTATATTTTTTCAATGTTATTAATAATCTACTCTATTTCCTCTGTTTAACTTAATCTAGATCTAATCACTAATTAGTAAATTACTCTAGAATTAGGTACTTGGATTACATCTCGTTTTACCCCGCGCGGCGAGTTTTTCGTCCCCGTTACCCAGACGCCGAGAATTTGCGGCGACGCGAGTGCTATAGTTTCGTAATTTTTATCGCTCGGTGTTATCGCCCGATCAATTTTCGTGCGATTATCGATTTTTCGTAAAAAAATGGACATTTTGCGTTTTTGTTGTTTTTTTAATTTTGTTCATGGATTATTCAAGATGGAGTATTTCAGTGAAAATAAGGTAAGTTTAATTTACTCCCTACTGTTTATTTTTATAAAAAGGGGAAAATTTATTGCATAATTTGAATTCTACACCACTTTTCTCTATTGTTTCAAAAAATCAAGTTGTTTGAACATAGCGCACAAAAGTTATATGCTGCGCAGTTTTGTTACCTCTATAGAAAATACGTTTGTTTACAATACGAAAGCGAAAGTGGCAAGGGAGGTAATAGAAATAAATAGCGGCGAGCGATGTTTTGCCGCCGGTGATAGTGGCGAACCATGTTTTTCCGCCGGCGATAGTGGCGAACGATGTTTTGCCGCCGGCAATAGTGGCGAACGATGTTTTGCCGCCGGCGATAGTGGCGAACGATGTTTTGCCGCCGGCGATAGTGGCGAGCGATGTTTTGCCGCCGGCGATAGTGGCAAACGCTGCTTTGATATTGAAGGTAGTGGAGTAGAGGGGGGGGGGAGGGGAAGGTCTGGTGCGGTATTAGCAATAAACATTCAATATTTAGTGTCTTCAGAAAAGCCATTTTATTTATTTTGATGTGAAAGCAAATAATGTACTGTTTACTTTTCCAGATAGAACCTACACTTCAAAAAACCAGCACATCTCTACGATATGATGAGCAGTTATATGGCCTAATGAGGGAACACTGTAAAGAGGAATTAAAACTATTTCAATAAATGTGTTCATCTTTTATTTAGATAAATTAAGTAATATTTTTTTAAATAACTTAAATAAATTTTGAAGCAGTACATTGAAAGTTTAGTGATATGAACTAGTTCTATATCTTTTTAAAACCAACCAGTCCAATGTTGAACTTCTTCTGAAATGTAAAGTACTAATGAATAGACAGAACACATCTTTTTTAATTAAACTATATTTATAAGTAGACTTACAAGTTAATTACATTTATACAAATAAAAGACCTTACATTTCTAATAGATCTAATTTGCCATCATTTTTTTTACATATATTAGTTCAGTTTTTCAATGATGTCAGGTGCGTCGATGACTCAGCGTTTTACCTTTTTACCATATTTTACCTATTTGTCAACTATTTAGATAGAACCATCTAACACACTTATTTCAGAGCTTCACTCTGGTTAGTTTTTAGCTTTAGATTCAAATAGTTTGGACATAAGCTGATATTGTATGAACAAATTTAGTATTTAAAAATAGGGGGTGTACCCTGTTCCACCCCTTATTTTTTGTTAAACAGATAGATTTAAACACATATTTTGATTACTTCTGTTTAAGAATAGAGTTATCTTGAGCTAGACAAATTTTGAGACTTAAGTGCTTAATAACTCAAATTTGCCATTATGTTGCATGTCACATCAACAAGACTTCGGTTTTGCGAAATTGTATAATTTATCAGCTTTGTAGCAGTTAAAACAAAAATCTTTTCAGTTATGAATATTAATTTGATTGTAATAACTGACACATCCATAGCTCATCATTCTCAGCAAGTTTGAGCTTAATTTTCTGAATAGTTAAAATTTTAACAGAGATTGTATGAATGCACTGTATATGAAAAATTAGGGGGGGTACCCTGTTCTACTTCTGTTTTTTGTTTTACTCTGCCCATAAATTTCTAATTTTATTGTTTATTATGCTTCCATATATAATAAATAAAGATATTGCAAAGTTATAACAAATTTGACCATATGGTTTACAAGCTAGGACAATTTTAGTAAACGCTTAAAAAAACTCTATCACAGAAATTGAAAAAATCCTATGTTAAAAAAATCACATTTTTTAATACGAAAAAAAATCATAACTATTTAACCGTTTGAGCTACATCAAAAAGGAAAACTGTTCTGTTATTGTAATTTTCTGCTCCTTTTAACTGTAGTAGTTGTTTCCTTAAAAAAACAATTTTAAAAATTTATCCTAGTACCTACTCTAGAATTCTAGAAGATTAGTAATAAAGGTAATCTATCGTTTTGGGTACGTAAAATCGCCCGCGGCTTCTAATGTTCGAAAAAGTTACCTCATTGTCAAGGCTTTAATAGAGGTATATTTTGATATATTTGTGTCAAATATTATAGATAAATGAATAATAAACCTAAATCAATAGCTAAATAATACTAAATATATCAATATAGGCAAGAAATTAACTTTAAACAGCAGTATTTACGAGCAGGATTTCCTATGTATTACTATATAAACTGCAGCCATTTGTAAAATAGAGTTGCCTTCCCCTGAATCTTGCGCTATACGTTAACAAAGAAAGAACTTAAACAAGATGGCTGCTATAGTAAATGAGCATTGTTGCATCTGTTGGAAACATCGCTAGTCTTCATTTATTATTGAAAAGTTTTTAATTCAATTGTTTGAAAGCAGGTACATAAATGAAACAAGGAAACATTTTTGTATTTTTCAAAACATAAATCCTCCTCAAAATGTGAAATAATTATTAAAATTTAAGGAGTCACCCTTCTTTCACATTACTAGTCGCGGGAGATTTTACGTACCCAAAACGATAGATTACCGTAATAAATACTAATCTAAGAGTAAGATTAGGCATTTCGATGTCTGCCAATTTGTTTAATCTGGCCACATCCGAACTTTTTCATGCCAACTTTTGTAATTTCGGCCATTTTCCCCCCAAGTGCTTAGTTATCACGAGAGAATCGGTAAATTGATGTGATGTATTCGATAAGTCGGTAATCTATCGTTTTAGGACGTAAAATCGCCCGCGACTAGTAATTTGAAAAACAGGTGACTCCCTTACATTTTAGTCAATCTCCTTACCAAGACTGGAAGTCAGAACCTGACCCTGAAATGTCATGCTCTTTTTGTTTTCGCATTTTAAGTGTTTTTTTTGGAAGGGGGGGGGGTTCCTATATACAAAAAAGGAAAAAACTGCTAATCTCGCAATATCTCATCATTATTTTAATGTGAAATGCTAAGGAAATGGATACTATGGCATAAATGCCAGAATAGTTTGCGAGATATGTAGTTATAATTAATACAAGCATGTCTTGTGGAGCACTCTCAAGAGAAACTGAACTGCAACAAAAAACGACCGACCACCAGGCAACAGCGCTCGACAGATCCTAGATAAATATATATTTGAGATATTTACCATGATTAATTACAATAGAAATACCATGCCTCTGCTATTTTTAGTAACATGACGTCATTGTTACGGTAGTTGTCAGATAAAAACAACTAATTTTTGTTTTTTGCGGAATGCACCGTTAAGTCTAATATTTTAATTATAATTTATAATTCAGTTGTAGCATGTGCAGAAATTGTGGGCATTATTATTGTATTAAAAATTAAAGTATTAGTAATTTTATAGGCCTAAGTATATTGATTTTTTTTCTTCACTTACAAGCCAAGTAGGCCGACTGCACTGTTAGTTTCATTGAACATAATTCGTGATCGGTCGTTAACCTTGTAAATATTAATACTTCGTGGCCTACCCGACTGTATAATTTATATGAAATTATATGTATTTTTTAATTAGGCCTTAGTATTGTATTTTAAACAATGCTCATTCCGAGCCTTTTTGTGCTAGATCTAATTAGGCCTACTGGCAATTTTTTTAAATTTTAGACTTGATCAACCTCGTTAATGCTGTTGTGTTGTAAAATGTACGCAGTAACTCAATTACTACGTAGAATGATATCAATAAATGAAGTAGTATTTATTTCCTTATAGTTTTAGCAATCTTTTGATACAAAATGTCTAATATTTTATTTTCCAATACATCATGGTGTGTGCCAGAGTAAACAGAACGGTGCTGTAGGTGACCTAGAATCTCCAAGTTCGAATCCGACGTAAATCAGTTGTGCTTTATTTTATTGTTTCACATAGGAAATGCCACAGGCGGTTTTATTTTCTTTCTTTTTTAAAAATATTTTTTTTATCGAAATAATATTTTATAAAATAATTATTCAAGATTTTCCAAACATCATCGCTCGCGAGATCGACTGCTTACATTTTCTTGTCTGCGGGAGAAACGTGTTGACACGGTCGAGGGTTCACCGTGAGTTCAGCAGGCCCACTATAGCATACGTCACAGCATTAATGATTGCTGTTAGAGATCGTCGGTGGGCAATCCCACCCCTCCCCTCATAAACCAAGCAAATTGTAAAACAACTAAGGGTCATTTTAAGTTCACGCAAGCTTACAGGACTGTAGATATACTACGAATAGCTGGTAAAACAAAAGAAAAAAGAAAACTTCGCCTAACCTAATGCTACTACAGAAGAGAATATTAATTATAGAGTATTTTATTTTAAAGTTTAAAAAAAAAGTTGATTTATCATCTTACCTAATACTGTATTGTCTTTACAGTAAGCCTAGATCTAGATTTCTGTCAGATCTATTTTTAGTTTTGGATATTAATTTTATTATCATCTTCATGGGTATTGATCGTCAATTCATCATGGAAGGCCTAATGTCTTGAATTGTACATAGAATTTATAATAAATATGTCTGATATTTCCTTAATAAACATAATAATTATAAAGTTTTATTTCTAACAAGATGTTTTGGTTTTTTTTTTTGGTAACTAAAATACCCAATGGTGTGGTAATTGCTATGACGTCATGCTACGAATGGAAAACACAAACCAACGTAACTTTTTGACCTCTTTTGATGGCAAAAAAGAGTTTCGCATTTTAAGAAGTTAATTGGTCATTTTGTTTTT